TTCAGAAAATAAAGGGTCTCTATGTAACTCGGTATAATTTGTATGAATATTATTAATAAGACTCTTATATGTTTAAATTAATGTTAGAATAAGCCCAATACTATTCTTTCAACCAAAATAACCCATCGCCTAACGTTGCTTCATCTTTTGAGCTTTGAGCCTGACAAAAGTTGTTCTGATTGATTTTTGACCGAGTAACAAGAGATCATCGAGAATTCGAGATTTTTAATGGATAGACAAACCTTATAAACAAACATTATTATCATAAATTTGAGAACTTAAACACAATGTCAAGAACATCCTGACCAGAGATAGACCCTGAATGAAACGAAAAGACCTACCCGTACCTGCCTAGCGTACCAACAACCGGCATTTTCTTGTTTAACAACTTGTTTTGGGGATTGGACTGATTGATACTCAAAAACACATATGCCAATCGATGTCAGAAACGAGCTACACTCTGTGAAAAAGGAACTTGGAAGATGAAAATAAACAACAGGTTTCGTTGGACATATTAAGCCAGTGAGGATCAGACTTTCGATGGAACCTTGGGCTCGGTCTCGACCCCTTTTTGGTCTTCAAACTTGTCTATAGCCATCTGAAGCTCGTCCGTGCCACCAACAGCCCTCATCGTGTAGAAGTATACCCCGAAAACAAAAGCTGTCAAGCCTCCCGCGACAACCATGTTCTTGCTTTTTGGACCGAGAAAACTCAAACCTGGAAATCCAGCCATTGTTTCAAAGTCTTTCAAACCTGTGAGATATAAGAAAGTGTAAAACATCACGCATGATACAAGAGACCAACCCAAAGTCTCAAAAGTATTAGTTTACTCTTATATCTTTCACAATCACATTACTATGAATGGAATGGTTAACAAGAGAGAACATTGTGAAGCATGTATACTCCTATAACATTCTAGCAGTGAGACTCCAGAATCCCTGAGGCATCGCAGAACAGCGATATATTGTTCATATGGTGAAAACAGAAAGTTCTAAACCGATTAAATTCAAAGAAAATGGCAGTGGAGATCAAAAGATGAGTAAGAACATGAAGCGAACAAGTGAAGATTGCAAAAACCTTCCAGCAAAAACAGAAGTGCTCTTATGCATTATAATGGAGACGGCAAGTTCCCATCTTTTTCATGTCCAGAGAGATACAACTCATACAAGTTATCATGATTCATGTGAATAAGCTTTACCATAGTTGTTCATAAATTCACAACAATCGGTGCAAACTCAAAACTTTTAGCTTCCCTTTAACGAATCAA